TGTTGGAACGGATTAATTTCGTAAGTAGAGGTACCACTGTATATGTCTTTTTTTAAAACACTCACCCAAAGTATCAGGTTGTTTGTCTGAGACTATTCACACAGGATTTTTCTTCAAAGGATTCAGAGAAGTCCGATCAGCCTAAACAGCTTTGTAACCTGAGCCCAACAAATAATTCATTTTACAACATAGTTCTCACTTCTGCCTTACACCTTGCAACACCATACAGCTCAGATCTCTCTTTCAAACAGGAGTGGGCAAAGCCTAGTCCTGGAAGCATATTTTGTGCCCCATCTCTCCCAAACTGTTTGGGAGACCCACAAAAACCTAGGAATACACTGCTTGTCAATTGTATATTACTGTGAATATTTTGATGCATATTTGAATACCAACAATCACAGATGTACACCATCATCTGTGCAAAGTATACACTTTCATACACTTCAGAGATTCATCAGTAAATTCAAGATAGTCATATTTAGGCAGTTATCAATAATCTCTGCTATATTTCATCAAACTGATATTAATAATAGTTGTCACAATGAAAAACTGCAGCCACCAGATCCTAAATTCATGATGGATAGTGAGTGTGCTGTTATGAGACCATGATTACTGAGGCCACATCTGGCCAACAACTCAGGTTTTGTGAATACACTTGTCCCTCCCTGTTCATGGACTTGGAGTCTGTGGTCTTGGCCCTTCGCGGACAGCAAACGGGGAGGGACAAAATGGTGTGTGCATGTGCTGCCATTGAAATCAATGGAGCTTGGATATTTGTGATTTTTCCGATTCATGAGAGGGGGATCCTAAACGGATCCCCCGCGAATTGGAAGGGATGACTGTAGATACTATGACAAAAAGGGTTCAAGATCAACCCACTCCCCAATTATACCTCTTGCAGGTGTAGGAAAAGGGATAGGCCATGTTGGTGAACCTATGACATGCATGCCCTGACACGTGGAGCAGGGAAGAGGAGGAAAAAATGCATGCTTGTTCCTCCTGCTCCCGCCTGTCCCAGGCCTTCGGAGAGGCAGCTGAAGGCCCAAGAAGGTGCAGTGGGAGGAGTAGGAACAAGTGTGCACCTGTTCCACCTCCTCCTGGGCCTTCAGTTGCTGCTGGAGAGGCAGGTGAAAGCCCAGGAAGGTGCGGAGGGGGGGAGATGTCCCGCCCCAGAAGTCTTGCCTCCAGCATGGGATAACACCCAGTGCCGGAAGTCCATTTAGTTTGGGCACTTGGTGTTTAAAAGGTTCCCCATCACTGGGATATGGATAGGAAGGTAGGCCTCATTTCAGTTTGAAGGGGAGGGAGTATCATGAAAGCTGTATATACACAAACTCTCTCAGGCTTGCTGTGTTTCAACACAGCGAACAGGGCACCTGACTCCCTCCAGGTGCTGATGGAAGTGCTAGTCTCATCATCCCCTATCATTTCCCAAGGTGTTTAAAACTGACAGGAATTGCAATTCAACATCACATGGCATAGTGGTTTGAGCATTGGACTATAGCTCTGGAGACCAGAGTTTAATTGTTCGACCATGACTCTGAAAACCAGGGTTCAATTCCCTGCTCAGCCATGAAAGCCACTGGGTGACCCTGGGCAAGTCACATGCTCTCAGCCTCAGGGGAAGGCAATGGCAAACCTTCTTTGAACAAATCTTGCCAAGAAAACCCCATGATAAGTATTTATTTATTTATTTAGGAGGTGTATATCCCATCTTTGTCGCAAAATGTGATTTACCTTAGGTCGCCCATACGTCAGAAATCACTTGAAGGCACACAACAACAAATAAACAAATAATCACTTGCTCAGTGTACTCTAATCATTTTATATACACTCGTCCCTCCACATTTGTGGCTTTTACTTTTGCGGATTTGATTATTCATGGATTTTATTAATATGTTCTCTCTAAGAATCTCTAGGTCCTCCAGCACAACTC